CTCGTAGTGACTGTTGGCTGGACAGGTTAGTGCTGTGTAATAAAGGATAAATCTATTTATTCATCTTTTAAAACTATTATAGTATTTGGATTTTTTTTTAATATCGTGTTTTATTTTGTTTTGAAGTATCTGAGGAGATCTTGGAGTTCTGAGCCTGCTTGGTGTGTGCCTCTGCTGTCTTATCACCCTTTCATTTCTTTGGAGGTTTGGGCTATTTAACGTTTCACTCAGAATTTCCTAGGAGATCTCTTAGTCCTGAAGATAAATATTTTGAATTCTTGCACTGGGCTAAGGTTTTCTGTTAGTTAGTTGTCCTAGACATGTCTCATATTTAGGTTATAGTCTTGATATTTAATTCTAATCATATTGTTGCTTTTTAATTAATGTTTTCACTTTACCAAGGTCTTTAATGTTTGTTAAGTAATCAGGTTGTACAAGTCCTCTGTTCTATTTTTAGGTCTTCTTAGATGCACAACATGTAGATACTCAAGCTATTTAGAGTTTTTAAACACTGACTTTTTCAGGTGAGAAAATGCCAGAACCAAAGTTTCCCGAACAATCTTTTTTCAGCTTCTATATGTTTGTGTGATGTGGTTCAGGTTTTAATGGCCTATTTTCTCACTCTATTTTTAGCCTGCCTTCCTAAGGAGACAGAGAGCACACAACCAAATTGTACATTACTCTGCTCATCTTCTCACTTACTAAATTTAGCCCAGCTCACTTATTGCAAATAAGTTGGTAAGGTTGGTAGAGCACAAAATCATATTCAGGTCCATTAAGTGAAATGGGTACAAGGCAAAGAGGAGAGATCCTGCAAGCTCCTTCAGCAGAAAGATCAGTAGAGAGAAGGCTCACTCCTGTTTAAAAACCATAGAAATGATGAGAAAAACTCAGCAATGTCTCCAGCAAAGAAAAAGCTCCAACTAGAGCCTGTGGTCAGACATGAAACAGAAGTCAGAAAGAAATCAGGCTTCAGTCATTCCAGTGTTCATCAACAGGGCTCTTTCTTTAGTCTGCCCACCTCCTTCAGTGCAGAAGGCACACAAGGTGCTGGATCACTATTTCATGTTCCTTACATTGCTTCTGGTGGCAGTAGATCTGTTTAGGATTTTCAGACGATGTTAAAATCCTCTTATAAAAATACCATGATTTGGGTCTTTCCTATAATATATGCCTGAATGCTTGAGAAATTTTCTTTCATTAATCTTTACCAACAGATGTGTTCCTCCTTCATCCTGCTCTCTTTGTACTTCTGCAGACTATGTCTGAGACAGAGACATCATCTCTGTTCTTCACAGGTTTATTCCTCCCATCACCTCTGACTTCATTATTCATGCAAGAGCAACAAGCTCCAAACCCTGGACCAGCTACCAGGTCTGTGCTTCCTTGTCCTTGGCTCTCTGCCTAGCCAGTTTTCAACCTGTTCTTCCTCTTTTATGTTGGTTTTTAAGGAAACGCTCATTTTTCTTTCTAGCTCCTATTTGCTCTCTCTAAACCGAGGGTACTCCACAGTCCTACACTCAGCCAGTTCACTAGACCTCTCCAGTTCCTAGTCAAAGTTTCTTGCTCTCTGTCCCAGACTTCCTGGATTCCTTATCCCCCATCTATAGCTCTGCCTTTCATCTGCTCTGGTTCACATTCCTTCTATGTCTATATAAGTTATCTGCCTTGATGTGTTTTTGCTGAGGTTGCTGCAGGAAGAGAAAACACAGCTTCCCTTCTGTTAACTGGGTGCCTGGCCACCCTGCCGGGGGGAGAGCCTGGAAGCATAGGAGAAGGTACCTCAGGCTCTCAGCAGGGAGGATGGGTAGAACTCTTACATGTCTGCTAAACATACGCAACATGAGATTTTTTTCTCAAAGACACTTAAGCTCAGGCACAACTTCTTCAAAATGTAAAAAATCCTCTAAGTCAAATGTCCCTGGCACACTTAACTCCCCTAAGTATAGGAACGCTAAAGGAATTAAAAGGAAAAGCCTCCAATTCTACTTTAAGGTGGACTAGACATTTTTTTTCTCCTTTCAGCAAAGCAGTTTAACTGTTTTCACTAGAATCTTCTCAAAGGAATCAAACATATAGTAACCCTGAAATCTCTAGCCTGATCATTCAAAATTCACAATGTTATATGAATTCAAAACATATAACGCTCTGTCTTCAGGAAGTCCTGATTATATGTTCCTGACAAGTGGTGATTTCCAGTCGTCTGTGATACATACGGCAAAAGGTTGCATTTCTCCAAGGTGTCAGCTGGACTCCTGCAGCTTGGCACACATCTGCATAAGCCTGCAGGTTTCCACAGAGGGCTGCACTGTTCAGATGAAGTTCACAGAGATCGTACTGGCAGGCTTCAGAATAACTTTGTGGATCAACTACTGAGTGGCAATTCTGGAATGGACCATTTGGATCTGTGATCAGACCACAATATTTATTGCTTTGGATCATATGTTTCTCCTCAGCAGTGCAATTTGGAGTATGGCCATAATCTGGCAAGCATCTAGTGTGGGGGAAAAAAGAAAAAAAAGATGAGGAAACTTTCACTGCTGAACTTTGGATCCACTAGCACCTAAGATGCTTTTCAAATCACGTCTAACAAAACTACAGGGATGTTCCCAGGCTAAGGATGACATATTTTAAAGCATTTACATTTTAAAGCTTAACACTTAGGATAGAAATTTCATTTTAATATGATCTCAAACTTATAGCCTTTGAGAGGCCTGGAAGAAACCTAAATATTTATTTTGGCTTTCCTTTAGGTCAAGCCTTCTACATGGAAGATACCTAGGAAGAGCAAAAAAAAGATAAACAAAAGCATTTGAAGCTAAACCTTTAAAGCATTTGAAGTTAAACCCCCATACAAAAGTTGCTTAAAATACTGGTCGTTGCTTAACCAACAGCTAAGGACTAGCATGGAGTCCTACCTGGAGTCATTGTAAACCTGCCAACTGTTGCCAAGACTGGACGAGTTTGTTTCCATCTCTCCATCTGGGTTAAGAAAGTCATCCGCTTTGTGCCCATTATAATTTCCACAAATTCCGCAGACCTTAGACGTATAGGTACTGGGTAGAGTGATTTCTGCTCTGTGATTTCCATCAAACTTGACATTCAGCCCAAACTCAGTAGTAACCACGACATACTGCCCACTGAAGGCAACACTGACACCCTGCGGCAAGGTCAGAGGGAGCACCTGGCTGACTCCATCAACCTGCAGGCAGAGAGGACAATCATTATAATACCTTTAAAAGAAGGATTTTTAATAGTGATCCTCTTAGATCACATCCATTTATTGAGCACAGGACTTGCACAGTGAGCAGTAAGATCCCTCATTGTGTTAAGTATTATTTTATAGGGATGTTGTGTATGGGCACATAATGGAGGGCCTTGAGGCCATACTAACATAGCTGTGTAGCTTCCAAGGGTGGTCAAAGTGAGCTTGGTGAACCAGACCCAGCTTGCAAAAGTCCAAGGCTTAGCATGGTCTGTCAGCAGTAACTGCTTACAGATCTATCTGTTAATTTGGATCAAATAAGACTAAAAAAGTGTTGTTAGGATGGATTCTGAGAACATTTTCAGGACAGGACAAATCTTGAAACAGCTTCTTTTTATATCTTTCTTTCTCTTTCTAATATTTACATTTTTCCAGACAAAAGAAAGAAAGTGTCCAAGTAAAAATTTCTGTTTATCTTAAATTTACTAAAATTAATATCTGCTTTGAACATTTGTTTGTGTTAAATATGTAAGACAGTTTGGTTACCTAGAAGAATATATACACAATTAAAATAGTAAATACAAGGGACAGGTATAAAAGAGAAACTGTTGGACAAATGTGGATAAATGAATTCACTGTGTTTCCAAGATCAGATGGGAATGGTCTTGGTGTACATTTAAACCCTGGATCTCCTGTCACATAGATCATTGTATTGTCTTCTTATAAGGAAGGGCGTTAATGAAGTAAGATGACCTATTTATTTATTGAAGATTTGAACCAAACACCTCTGCTTGTCTTGGCCCTTTATGGAAAGGAGCTGTAAAGAAGCCTTAAAATACTGACCAGGTGACACAATATGAGGAGAGTCATCAGATTTTCACTCTAGAACTCTCTCATTTGGCCCTGCTCTAGGTGTTAAGTGAAGTTAGAAGTGATGTGGAATAAATACAAATCAGGGATGAGCATGCAACTTTACAGGCTACCACACAGGATCAGTCAATAGCCCCCGGCATGGACTCAGTTAGTACAGGGACTTTTTATACCCTCATGAAGACCACACTTGAGCAGGAGGGGCAAGCTAGAAGGGTAGGCCAGCCCATCCATCCTGTCTAGAGTGTCAGCTCTAATCCCACCGTTTAGCAATACAACACAAAATTTTAGCCTATGTTTTCAGCCCTGAAATTCCAATGCTTAAGTTAAACTCCACACTTCTCCTATACCCAAATATCTGGCTGCCCTCTAAATAATGCTGTATGTATGCTGGAAATTTGTACTCATTGTACAACAATTTCTTCATTCACACTAAGAACAGCTGAAGATAAGCTAATGGGCTCCAGTCTTACCTTAACAGCTCTGTTTTTACCCAGATTGATCCTGTAGCCATGCACATCTATGTCCACGTGTCGCAGGTAGGACACGCGCGTGTTGCCTCCCCTGTGCTCGTTGGCTGCCTCCACGTTGAAGGAGGGCAGGGAGCTGTTGCTCTCACACAGCTTGGAGAGGGTGTAGGTGCAGGTGCCCATGAAGTCGTGACGCTGCTTGTCGAACGTGTAATAGTGAGGATCCCCATAGATACTGCAAATTGCTTCTGGAGACAGGAGAAAGGAATATGTTCTTATTAACGTGTGGATACATCCAGAAAAGCCACCTCATTGTGCATGGGAAAACACAATCACCCCCATTTCATAGATGACATATGGAAGAACTGAAACAGAAAAGGCAGATTTATATGGCACAAGGCCATGCCACAGAGAGATGCTCAAAGCTATTAGTTGAAGCCAATAAGTAGCACTGGTAGTGAAGTATTTAGGTGCCTTTATTCGAACCCATTGACTACCACATGTTATTGTCTAAAATTACCTTTCACTGGAGGTGGTGTAGATCCTGTTGGTGTCGGTGTTGGTGGTACAGAGGTAGGGACAGCTTCTGTTAGTAGAGAAGAGAAGGTAATACAACGAGTTATAACATTACAGAGTGAATGCTACCTACACACCAGCATACACAAATTTCCTCTTTTCACCAGCATAAAGTTAGAAGTTTTTCATGGAAGCAAGTGGAACTGCATATATTTCAAAGCAAGGATGTGTGTGACTTTTGAGTGCTTTGGAAAGCTCATGTGATTGTTAGCTTGGCAACAGTGACTGAGCTTGTGCTGGCATGATTCTCTGGAGTTGGAAGTGTATTTACAATTGGATATGGACTCCCTCTGGTGTGTATATTAAGGCCTGAAGGTCATACTCTCTGCAAGTGTTGGCAGGTCTGGGAGTGAGTAGATGCCATATAGCAGAAGAAGTAACTCTCAGGGCACTGGTGACTACTAATCAGAGAGTTTTGTTGTTTCTTCAAAATTGTATTTATTAGGAATGTGACAGCAGTAATAGCTTTCTACTGGCAGACACAACGAACAGGCTTGTTGGGGAATCTTCTCCCCACCTGCTTCTGCTTGCTATCAAATATGAGCATCTTCTCCACCTATTCTTTATCCATCACAAAGATAACTTCTAAAAGAAGCAGTCCTTTTGGTGTCCTTGTATGTGTGAACTAGCAACAGCAGGGTGAGTACTACTCTCCTGATGTCATGTGTATTAACCTGTTGACCTGTGAATGAGTGATGGACCTAAATCTCTGGAAGCACAACAGACTGAGTAAAACCTTCAGAGCATGCATGCATTCACTCCTGCCTCTGAAGAGCAAACAACAACTCTCCTCACTCAGCTACTCCACTATTGTACTTGGGTGAGCCCTCCACCGTGCACTGAGTGTGTGATAACAGTCAGTGACGAACTGGAGGTAACCAAATGATGAACTGGTTCATGGAGAACAATGCTTTCCAACCTACTTACAGATGCACAATAGATCTGTAACCACACAAATGAATCCACATGTAAGGCAACTGCTCTTCTGTACTACTGAAACTGCTACAAACATTATTTATAGGGATTAAGCTGTAATACAAAAAAACAAGTCATGTCAGAACAAGTTGGAGATTTTTGAGTAGTGATGCAGTAACCACATACTATGATGGTACTGCTTTTGTGCTAACCATCTGATTCAAACTCAGGAGGATGTAGGTGTTTTGCAAGATTCTTATGGTTATAATTTAGAAGAAGCCAATAGACTTCACACAATTTGAAGTCTTGTGCTTACTGACAGATCTCTGCACAAAATTATTCCATTCACTTAATGAGTTCTAACATCAAAGCTGAAGATATTTTGTAATAATCTGCCTGAAAAATGGGATCAGCTCCTTTGCATACACTGGTTTCCTGTACACCTGTTTCTTACATGCTGATTTCTTCACATCTAGCTCCTTACTCCAGTGTAAATGCAGTTTTTGCATATCTAGCCCGGAATTGCTCTTTTTGCTCTTTCAATATTGGGGAAAAATGACAGGAATCCTAATAATGGCTGTATTCCCACAATGGATACTCCCCAACAAGCTTTAAGATAATTTTGTTGTAGAGCTGAGGAAAAACAAACAAAGAAACAAACAAAACACCACCTATGCCCTCAAAAAAAAAAAGAAAAAAAAAAAAAAGAATAAAACTTCTTCCTAACATTATTTTCTTGAGATCTAAGGTGAAGAAGTTCTGCAAATGACAGGATGAATATCAAACCTAAAGACATCTTGCTAAAGTTGGCTTGGAAGCTAGTTCTTCATGTGACTAATGGGCATATATTTATTTTTTTCATGAGTTTGATTAAAATCTCTATTCAATCAAACATTCTTGTAGAAATAAAAAGGTTGGGAGGGCTTTGATTTTTACCGGACCTAATACTGCACTTAACTTTCATCATATTAGTGGCCCTACATTTGAACAGAGGGAGGAGCACTTTTCTCTTGTCCCTTGGAGCTACATTAGTGCACCATCCAGTGGCTAAACCATGTGCTAATACGCAAAAGACCCTCAAGTATTTTTCACAGAATTTTAAAGCAAAATGTTATACTCTGAGGGTGTGGACCTGAATCTGTCCTGGGTAGTGTAAATCTGAAACATTTTATTGTCATTACATGAGCAGTATTTCACAGAAAGTGAGCCTTTTTAAGACCTAATGACACCTTCTATGTGGTTTTCAGCAAGTTTCTTGTTCAATTCACATTTTTTAAGTATTACATGCTTGACAGTAAAGATGGGATGAAATTGTAATTCACTTCAAGATGGTAGTCATCCACAGCTTGTGCCAGTCTTGGCTGATTTGTTACAGGCTCAGGGACCAAGCTCAAATTGCTGATTCATAACCAGAGCTGGTAGTGCAACTCAGCTTTATCAACACACCGTTATTTCTTTGGGTGATATATAGCACTGCTGTATATTTGCTGAGCTGAAATTTGCTGTAAAATGCTGACGAGAGCATTTAATCTGGAATACAAGACCAAAGTGCTTAGCCACTTCAGAATTTAAGTGAAGGCAAAGTTTAGTAGACCTTGTGAAAATGGTCACATTTTCAGAGAAGGGGATAGATTATTCTGAATGTTACTAGGAAAAAACTACAGCAAAATAGATAACATTCAAATGAAGTGAGCTGTAAAGTTTTGCCATTTTGAAGTTATGAGGAGTAGTTTGAAGTTATGAGGAGTTCCTGTATTGTATATGGAACTGAGTAATGCTCAGCAGCTTAAACAGAGATGAGGAAGCAGTATATGCCAAGGTGCAAACACAAACTTACCACAGGATCCATCCCTTACTCTCACATTGTCCAGGGCTGTGTCCCCATATTCGGTCAGTCCTCGAACAGCCTCAAAAATTACCTAGGCATGGTGCAAAGCAAATCACTGAATCAGAGTTGCTCAGGCAAATGCGAGACTATTTCTCCTAACAGGTTTTCAAAAAATTCTTTCTAGCCTACCTCTAAAGGCATCAGGTAAGTTGAGGCTATAACACCTTCCCTAGCTTTCCTCAGAAACCTAAAATATATGGTCTGTAATAAAGCAAGGAATTCAAGAAACATTATCCTCTAGTTTGCTGACTGATAAACGATTCATGAGAATTAGTTGTCTGGATTCCACAGAAGAGTCCAGTGTAGGCAACATCCCAAAGCTGAGACCTTAGCTCACAGCAGACAAATCTGCATTTAATTAAGGCACCTAAAGCCCCTGACTTTGTGATAAAACAAAGGAGGGAAGGAAGGAAAGAGAGAGAAAACTAAATGTATTTTATCCCCTAACTGACAGCATCAATAAAACTCAGGGTTGTTTGTTTCTTCTCTTAGTCCACTGCACAGAGCTTGAGGCCATTATATTCACAAAATATAAACCAAGAAAATCATGATTATATTTTCTAGTTTATTTGCACAAACTTTTGTGGTCTGCAAGGGGAGAGGAAATGCTGACACTGTATGAAGAAATTTATTCTGAAAATATATTACCTTTATCTTTCTCTGTGTTGGAAAATGATGAGTGATGGCACCATATTTCCACATGGAACTCTGGTTTCCCTTACGACTCCACACCATGGACTCCCCTTTGCTGTCTTGGATAAGCACTCTCAGCTCATTCATGTCTTCTGACCCATACATGTAGTACCAGAAGTCTACGCATATTTTGTCAGAAACTAGAATATCTGGGCTCTCAAGCCTGTTGGTGTCGAATGGGATCAGATTACTTGCTTCTTGGTAGATGAAATAGCCTTCTGCAGAAAAAAAAATTAGAAAAGAAAAGAAAAAAAAAGTTGAATCTTTGGAACTTGTTAGATGTCACTTAAAACTGACGTACAACCCAAGTCTGGAAAAAAATAAAAAACATCATTAGCAGTGCAAAAAGACAAAGTAGAGTGTGAATGGAATTTGCATTGCAATGGTTGGCACCAAATTGTTATCCAAACTAGAATGTGATATGGAGAGCAAAGCAAATATATACCAGCACACACAGTTATTTTGGGATCACAAACAAAGATGGAGGCCTCTTTCAAGAGACAGCACCTCCAAACATAATCCTCACAGATCCATGTTCACTTTCCTCTTTCCTCGAAGGAGAATAATGCAATCTGCTACACAGCGTCTCTTGCAGGATGTATTGTTTCTTTTAAACACTTTGGTCTCAAGATAAACAGATCCCTAGCAGAAGGAAAATTCCAACCTGCCAGCATTAGTCTTTGTCTCAAAATGGAAGGGATAGAAAGCAATGCAGGTATTTCCATCAATGTATTTAGGTTTAACATCATGAAAAGGAAGGAAACTTTTCAAAATTCAGAAACTCACAGTATTTATTTTAAGATTTAAAATACTTTAGACTGAGTTGGTTCAATATGTGATCATATTTTGCTTTACTAGGATTTTTTTTGCTTCCCATGGGCTAAGATCAAAGCTACATTTCCCTAGTGCAGTCCAAGTCAAGTCTGTCCCATCTGACTATGGAAAGGAATCAAAAAGAAATGAATGACCATTTCTATATGGTAAAGTATGGCTCCACATGGCATCTGGCGTTAGAATCGCAGAATTACTATGGTTGGAAAGGACCTCTAGGATCATCGAGTCCAACCTTCCTCCCAACATCTCCCTAACCACTCGACCATAGCCTCAAGTGCTACATCTACTCATTCTTTGAGCACCTCCATGGATGGTGACTCCACCACCTCCCTGGGCAGCCTGCGAAGAAAATGTAAGTCACATTTAAAGCTATATGGTCTGTTTCATTTCAGAAAGCAAAAAAATTTTTTGTGTGTGAATTCAAATTTAAAGTATTTTATTTCTTATTTCAATAGGAAATTTTAATTGTTATTATAAGATACTAAAAATACAGACAATTATTTAGCAAAAATCCCAACTAATACTGTTCTAATCCGCTTACTGAGCCTGACAGTAGCTGACCTTTCAGTCTCAGGATAATTACAGAAAGCAGTATGACTGCAGACTGATCCCCCATAAATGGATCTGCTAGTGCAAGGATAGAGTTTCAAACAGAAATGGAGCCAAACTAAGCACTCATTTGATGAAATGGCCATGTTAGACCCCATTTTTTTCAATCCCATGCAGCTGAGGACAAGCTTTTTAAAGATATGCTTTAATTTCAAACTTAATCTTGTAATACTTTGGTAGCATGAATGTTATCTTGTGCCACTATATCAATCACTACTTTTATTGCTTTTAACTGATAATCAGTGTAATTTGGCCACAAGACCTTTCTTGAATAGCAATCTGTTGCACATTTGAGGTCTTAAGCATGATGTAATTAGCTTTCGTCTACTTCCATGCACTGCTAAAGATTTCCAACCCATATAGGGCAACCCAGCTCAATTTACTTATAACTGACATGGTGAAAAGTCCAAGACAGGTGTCAGCAG